GGCTCATCAATATCCATAAGTTAAAGGACATCCGTCCTGGCATACACACGCGGAATAATTTACAAGGATCTCCGATAGATAACCACCAAGGGGCGAAATCGTTGATCAACCGTGCTGGAATACAAGCATTGCACGCGATCGTGGCACCACCAGAGTTGAACACAATTTTCATTCTGAATGATAAAAGGTAGCATCTTGAATGTACCCTATTCTTCGATTAAAGGGAAGCTTCCGAATAATGTTCGTTCAAGCTTGCAAATATTTATATATACAGGGTGAATCCATAAGAACTATTGTCTAAAATAACTGGTTACCTAGAGGTTGTATTAAAAAATGTTTTAAATACGTCTAAATGTTGCATTTAAAGGGACTCATCAAGGTGGATGCAATTTGATTCTTTTATATCTTGCATTTTCTGAGATACCAAGGTAACTTCGTGTTTTTTCAAGATCGCTGTATTTTTTTTTTCTAGACCTTATTACAAATCGTTGAATTCGTTTTTTTATCGGTTATACCGCGGGACTAACAAAAACATTCATTGACCTTGAAAAATCTCAGTTACCTTGATGTTACGGAAAATATAAGATATAAAAGAATTAAATTGCATCCATTATGAGTCCTTTTAAATGCAACATAATTCATCTAAAAGATTTTTTGGTACAACCAGTACGTAAGAGTAAAGCAAGAGTACTAAAATGGTAATGAGTTATTTCATGCAATACTTCTCTTGTTTACTCACCCTGTATATTAGTGCGTACGTTAAAGAAAATCTATATTTTCTATTCATGTATGTATAGCTTGTCCAAATGGAATAACTGTACACACCATTCACTGTTTTAAGATCAAAGTTTAACACATTGACTGCCACAGTGAAAAAAGCCGTACGTAGCCAGACACGCTTTATTCCGTTTTTTTCGAGTCATAAATCGTCGAAAATATATGCGTACAGTTAATACAGGCTGTCTGTCTTGTTTTAAATTATACCGCAATATTAATTTTCCGCAAAAAAACTTTGTAACGGTATTTAAATAATTCAGCCTTTTTGCAATGTTTCAACTATGACTTATTTCGTGGTCGGCAATCAACGTGTTACCAAACGTTGTGGAAAAAAGATGTACAATAAAGAATTGAAAAAAATCTGAACAGTATCTTTCCTATAATCCAAAGCTAATAAAATACTCAACACGAAGGGACTATATATATTCCCAATAAGTATCCAACAGCCCAGTTATGATGTACAATAAATAATCGATGAAACGACCATGAAGCAGTATTGCATATTACCATTTAATACCTCGATGAATTTTCAATCGTATACGTTGGTTGATCAAGGGGCCTTGTATTGATCAAGTTTTTCGCTTCTAACTGTACATATAATGATTCCCTCCCCACGAATATTACAAAAGCTCCAGGCGGTGGATCGCGATTAGAGTGTTTCAGAAAAAAAAAAAAAATTCACAACCACGCACAGAGCTCACGTAAATCGAGATATCTCGCGAATACGCGGAGTCACGGGTTTAAATTGAAATGAAACACGCGCGATTACACTTTGGAACAAAGGAATTTCGAGCACGGACATTCTTAACTGTTTAGTTACTCACGTATTCTCGAGTTATTGAGATCTTAGATGCGCTACCCCGCGACAGACAAGAAACAATTCGCGTGCGTAGCTTCTCCTTGGGATCCACACACAACGGATGCAAATTCATACCTGACGACTACGAGGTATATACGTACGTTCGTTTATTTTTTTTTTCCGCGAACGACCGTGAGTCAACGGAACTCACGTGTCCACAGCGCAAGGAATCACTCGAGAGAGCTGCGGGGAGAGAGACTTCGATGCCTGGTCGTTGCATTCCGCTAATAGCGCGCGCGTACGGAAATATCGGTAGAGAAATTCCAAAGCTTGCACATACGATTCAACAGAATCGACTTCGACACTACTAATTCCGATTACAAAAGTCACAATTACTAATTTACAATTACAGATTATTTTTTGAATATCTAGTTCTGATTTTAACCATGAAATTCGATATTTAACTCTTTTAGACCTGGTGGTCACATTTGTGTACATGGAGTTTCTTAAAATTTCACGCAAAGCCTGGAAAAAATACAGATAAACTCTGATTCACGAAAGCTGTGTACACTTAAATATAGTTCAACTTTTATCTAACACAATTTTTTGTAATGTTCACGGAAGTTCCTGAAACGTGGGACACCCTATATAGTACATTCAATTTCTATTTCGTACACGATTTCTATAGCGAACTATATATATTCCCATTTCGATTTTTCATCTGGTTACTTTTGGTCGTAAATACGTTACAGAATGTGAATCTCGATCGTGTTACGTTGGCTTCGAATCATCACGAGGGAAGATCGCAAGCAGTAACGAGTACTATTATTGGCCGTCACAAAGGGATCTTGTATCGAGTCTAAATTGGTTTCGTCGATCGGTTCTCGCCGGTGCACGAGCAACGAAAAGAGTTTCTCTAATCGACAAGACGGTTAGACCGACAGATGCGAATTAGCGATCGTGTCGCGTTGCAATAATCGACGCGCATTGTCGAGATATTTTCGATTCAAGCCGGGATTGCGGTTCGTATTTTATCCGATAATAACTAAACTGTGTGGATTTTATACATTTACAGAATATCCAAAGATGTAACACACCATGAAACATGTACAGGGTGGCCCAAAAGTCACTACACCATTTAAAAATAGAATAACTCTTGTATGTATTAAAACTTCACATTTATGCATTTATAAACAATAAATATACTTCTTGGAAATTATTTTCAATTACATTGGTAGATTATGTCCTTCAAATGGCCACCATTTTGTTCTTGACAGTCGCAGGCTCTTTCTAAAAAGTTATATTTTAAAAATGGTCCAATGATTTTTGGGCCACCCTGTATAATGTCTTTTGCTCGTATCCTATATTATGTCTGTGAGCCGTCAACAGAGGAAAATTACCATTGAACTTCTTTAAATTCAATCTAGACCGGTTAAGTTTTTGTTCCAGCTTTTTAATTGCGGGTACAGTGAACAGAACATTCCGTCGCGATTACACGGTGAAAAAAAAACAGAATCCCAAAGGCTAATCGAGACTGACGAAAGAAATTCGACTGAATCCTAGGATTGAAGCCTTTCGAAGGCGAACTCCGCCTTAATTCGGGGCCCCGGAACCCACAATTTTCATTGTCGACGACGACGCTGCGCTCATTATATCCCCGATTTTGTAAGAGATCCGCGCGCGGCCGTACGACATTATGCAATCCAACCGACCAGGGAGTCTGCTCGCTACTCTTTCTTTTGTAAGAGTCGATCAACCATCTCTCGTGTAGCAGAGGACTAAGCAACTGAAGATGTTGCCAAAGAAGAAACACGCTTGTGAATGTTCCACCGTGCCTGACTCAGACCCTAAGCATATTACCAACACACGTACAACATATCGAAAAAGATATACATTAATGTACAAGTACGAATTTTCTCCATGATCGTTTGTTCCTTAAAAATTTTACTATTTAAATATGGCGCTCAACACAAGGTTCGGTAAATTTAAAAAATCTTATGTTAGTAGTCCGTATTGCACAGAAAATTTAAAACATTTCTGATAGTGTAAATGTATATAAGAGATTACCTAAAAAAACTTTGAGAATATATAAAAATGTTATCATTTGTTATTATAGTTATTATTATATAGGTGATTAATAAATTAGTTGTAAATTAATCTTCACCATAGTTAACGATGAAATTAATAGTTAACAATAAGTTAGATTCGTATTCATTCATACCTCATTCCTCCACCAAGACGTCCACCGTTCTTCGGATTTAAAACAGGAGTGTTACGTTCTTTACAGTCGTCGAAGGAATTGTTTGCAGTCTACGCTACGCGACCCGTTCATCTGCATTGAAATATGATATTAACTGCGACCTTGTCGTTATTGAAGGCCATCCCGTTCTGTTTCCTCTTGGCGAAAGAGATAATAGTGTGATTGTAAAATTCGTAAGGACTTGAGGTGCTCTCACTGATAAAAGGTCCTGGGCGTTGTGCAGAATTGTTCGAAAGATGTCTAAAGACAGAAAGAAATTCCAACATTACACGCGATAATTAACGTTTACGGTTTCGTTTACTGTCTAAAGAATTGGTATTTATACACCGGTACTATTTTTTTTGTCAAGGCACCACAATAGAATATTGCCTACACTCGCACGACCTGTGGTGTCAATAAACCTGTTTATTAAAAATCTACATTACGATTGTTATATATCACGTTCAGTAATAGTATACCAACGACGCAAAATAGTTATAACTTCCTACTTTCTTCTAAACAATCTAATCGAATTCCTGACCTTTCAATCGTAGAACACAATAACCTCTCTGACTGCGAGCGGTAGTACATTTGATTTTAAAGTTACCATGTAATTTAACAATGAGAACTACGTTCAAAGGCGAAGAAAAGAAATTTTCACACTTAAATTATACAGAAATATATCTGTATGTTTAATAATATAAACATGTTTAAATATTAATATTACCCGTTTGATTTTAATCTGGTTACATGCGTTGCCGATCAGTTCGTTGAATTGGCGCGTTGCAAACAGATTTTGAACGTCACCAGCTTCGGTAGATAAACATTACTGACATCCGTAGCTGCGAATTGTTTAGACACACTTTTTCCAATGGTATCAGAGTGTTTCTTCACTTCCAAATGATACGTATTGGATATTAACAATTTGTCAACTGTGACGGGTTTACTGGATATTTTATTCTTTTGTACGCAATCAAAAGTCAGCGGATAGACGTTTTGCGGCACCTACGGCAGAATGGCTAAGCTAATTAATACTATAATTTCGTCGTAAGATGGCAGAACAAGCGATTCTTACCGATTACGGCTAGCCAGTAAAGAAGATACCGACAGAAATCAGTTGAGAAGAATGAACAAGCGCCATCTGAGATCAAAAAAATGTTTGTCCCTTCAAGCGGCCATATTATGCCGAGGATAGATAAGTCGGTTGCGTTACAGAGCTCGAAATTTATCCGAAATAAAGTACGCTATTTGCCAGTGGTAACGTGAATGTACAATTGTTCGCATCTTAGGCATCTTAGGTATCGTTATTGTTTTCAATTCCATAAACAGAGTAGATCAATTAAGAAATAGATCAGTTGGGCGCAGAGAATAAATAACTTGCTTGTGAAGTTACAAGTTTTTTCCGTGAGAATGGACTCCGAATAAAGCCGATGGCTAAGAGGTGAGCGAGTTACGGCTTCTTTCACACTGTACGCTGTTGATAGGAAGACTACCAAATTGTTTTCCTCGAATAACAAGTGAACAGAGTATTCGAAATCTGGTTCAAATTGTTTGCTGATAAAACGCGCGCGTGCAACGTAACATACCGGTTGCACGAGCTACGGTTTTTACAATGTTCTGCAAGAAATCGGTTAATCTCTCTCCGTTTGACTTAAGAACAGCTGTATCGGCACAGGAACAAAGGTTCGATTTATCTAAAAAATATATTCATGAGTATACTTTTGAATTTTGTTGAATTTTATCCGTACTGTTTTTGTTTGCGCTATATGTGCTGTGCATACAATATTTAATTATTGACCATGTTATTTTGCATTGCATATATGTATGATGTACGTACAATAAGTAGGTTAGGTTTCTAAAAGCATTTAGTTCATCCAAGAGTTCGTACACTCGAAAATTATGTTCCGGATTTGTTATGAATTATGATTGCTTTTAAAATGTAACGTTTTCATATTAAACACTGCATTTTATGAATGCTGTCTAATGTATGAATTATGTTCTAAATGTAGTCTATAAAGTAGTATAAAGAAAATTTTCTAACGAGAGATTGTGTAATTTTGCAGATTCTCATATACCTTTTGGATGTATAAATATGCCAGGTTGTGCAGCAGTTGGCTGCAATAATCGTAGTGAAAAGGGATATATTATGAAATGTTTTCCACGTGATCCAAAGCTAAGAAAAATTTGGCAGGAACGCGTGGCTAGAGCTGATTGGGAACCATCAAACAATTCTTTTCTGTGTCATGTACATTTTGAACCTCAAGAATGGTCCATTACACAAACTGGAAGAATTAGATTAAGGAAGAATGCTGTTCCTTCTATATTCACTGTAACATCCACCAGAAAATCACCCAAAAAACGAACCCAGATAATCAACATTAAAGACGAGAACTTATCGCAGAGTGAATGTAGTGTAGAATATATGGAGGTTGATACAGAACATTCATCCACAGGACATATAGAAGAGAAGGACTCAGATTCTCAGGATGTTTGCGAAACATCTGTGCAGTCCGTTAAGAATACATTTAAACATGTTCCTAAGAGTGTGAAAGAGGGAGACGAACAAGAAGAAAGTGTTAGTTCTGATGCCAATAAAAAAATCGTAGTCATGATTGCAGAGGATAATGTTACAGATGGTAGTAGTATTGTAAAACAAGATAATCATAAAATTAAATTGAATGATAGAAAGAAAGAAGCTGGATTATCATTGACGATTAACAATTCAGAAAATACATTACCAAGCACCGTTGTAAAAAAAGAGGTAAAGTTAGAAGTTATGGATCACCATACATTCGAAGATAGTTATGATGAAATTGAGGAGAAGTTAAAGCAGATTTGTGATGGTGGATTAACCGAAGATGATAATTATAAGAATAATGAGAAGAATAAGTTGTCCATTAAGAGTTACAAGGAGGATGATGATGTAGTAATGATAGGTGGAAGCAGCGATCTTAAGAATGGTGAACAAAAGGTTACTACATCTGTTAACACAGACCATGGTTTTCCATCAAGGAATGAAGTTGGACACAGTGTTGCTGACAAGGAAGAAAATGTGGAGATAATTTTTGGCACAGAAAGTGGAGATGAGAAAATGCCAGAATCTCAGATAATATCAAAAGTAAATACAGCCAATGATAATACTTTACAGGATCAGGAAGTAATCTCTATTAAAGATGAAAAGAAGGTATTTAATGAAGATATCGAAGAAAATTTTTCTAAAGATGAAGTACATGTCATACCAAATATAAGGGCTGCCATGAAACGTAAGAGAAGAACCAGAGAGGAAATAATGAAATCAATAAAGAAATCGATTAGGAGTATTTCCGATGCAGATATTAATTCTTCGAGTAACAGTGAATTGTCAGACACAGACACGAGGAACGATTCACCACTGTTCTCACAAGAAATGAAGAGTATGGATAAAAGAAACATGGAAATAGAAACAACTAAATTCGTTATAAAGGTAACTGGTGATCCTGACGATGTAAGCGAAATTATTGAAGAATTATCATCTAATACAATAGAAACCCAAAAACTCGGTACTTTTTACAAAAATGAAGAAAACAATGAATTTGTTACATCTGTGATAACAGTATTGTCACCTAAAAATCCTACAGAAGTAATATACAGTAATTTCAGTAGTCCATTAAGCAAAGACGAGTATGTAACTGTGAGCAAAAATGAGTTAACAATACATCATTCTCCTTGTGAGGAAAACCAGTTTACAAGATTAGACTGTATGTATAGTTCTAATAAAAGTCACTCCTCGTGTTTAAAACATGCCTGTTTTGGAGAGGAGAATAAACATCACACACAAATCAAGCCTACAGTACAGAGTTCTACACAGAATACTCAAACCACTCAAGAAAAGAGTGATAGATGTATTTCCTCTGACCATGAAGAACTGTTAGAAAAAATACAAATTCAAGAGGATGTCATTGAAAAATTAATCGATCAATTGATTATCTATAAAGAATTAGAAAACAATAGGAGAAATATGAGCATTGGTCAAGACAGTCCAGCTAAAGAATTTGACCCAACAAGAATTTATACAAGATCAAGTAACAACCAATCTCCAGCTCTTACTAAGAAAGTTATAGAGTCTAAACAAAGACTGATAGAAGATTTATCTAATAGAGTGAATTATTTCGAAGAGATGAATAAGAAACTAATGAAAACGGTTACATTGGAATCTCAACAGAAAAGGAAACTCGAGGGACAGATTAGACAGAAGGATAATCGAATAAAAGAGCTTAACTGGAAACTGGAGAAGGCATCGAAATATCTTGAAAGAGCAGAAAAGAATACAAATACATACAGAAGGAAGATGTTAAATATGCAGACCATCATGAGAAGAAGAAAACTTTTAGATGAAAAGATGAGCAAATTTAATGAAATGTTAATTGATAGCTCTAAACAAGAATTTTCAGAAAAGGCTTTAGTCATGGCAGCGGATATTAGAAAAACTTGTGGAAGAAATGGCTATGATAAATTACTCTCTTATGGGTTTCCATTACCACCATTACCATCTTTACGGAAAGGAATTCTTAATGAAGATACTCCAGATCCGAGTAAAAGTGATGTAGAGAAAATAAAAAACAATACAAAGTTATGCGTTAAAGTAGAGAAAGCTCAAGATATAAAGGATGAATCTACAGCAGACAAGAATAATTCAGAGGTTCCGGATCCAACTGCTAAAACAGGTGAATTTGATGGAGTAGAAACGGTAACAGGAACTGTACAAGATATATTCGAAGAAAATAATGACGGTGATGACTTTAGTACAAATGAATTAAGAGAACATTTCATTCTACAGTTAAATGCAGTCATGTAGCTGTGGTACTACTGTTCGAGAATAGCCGCGTTTTTTACCATTTTAGAATTAGGAAATGTAATAGTAAAATCATGAATATTTAGATAGGTTTTCTTCTGTCATTGTACAATATCCATTGTGCACTTATCAATTATATTTATTGTACAATACCGTTTCATGCTGTCGCTGAAAATGTAAATATATGTATAAACATTATATGTGTAATATAAAAGATTATTTCAATCGGTAAATTGCAGTATTAAATCATTGTACACAAATGATTTAGTGCATAACTAACTGTTTTGGAAACAGGTCTGCTACAAATTTATCTCATTAGGACGTTGCTGTAGCTTGTTTCTATCAAATATGTAAAGTAAAATAGATAATGACAACTATCAGGTAAATACATTGAATTATATACACATATGTCTTTAATATAGTTTTTATCGGTATAGTTACAACCCAGTGGCAGACTTGTTATTATTGACCTTCTTTTTCTCCTTCGATTTCCCATCTTTAGATCCCATTACTTTATCACATTCACACCAGGGTGTACTTAACTTGTCACACATTAAAGAAATATTAAGGACGGTCAATGGAGAGTCCCCGATAGTCATTTTAATTGTACTTAGTAACTTATAAGAAACATTATTTAAGCCAGTTTGACGATCCCGTTTCCGAGTTACTTCACGTTGATTATAGCACTTGATCATATCTCGTTTTCTATGATTTCTATCATGTATGTGTCTGTAATTATTATAATGAACGTAACTGGTTTACAGTTGCATGATAATTATACTTAAATTATTTGATACAAGATTATAGCCCACAATGAACATTGAAACCGTAAAGGAAGATTATATGTACAACTCCAAAATGTATAATAATACTAATGTGTCTGATCGTTACTCCTACTTGTAATAAACATAGACGACAATACGGAACGATTTAGTTTCCGTTGATTTTACTTTCTACCTATTAATTTATACCTGTTCATATATTTTTTTTATATATTCAAATTCGATTTTCGTACGCACAATCGTTCTTACTCGGTTTTACCACTCATTGTAAGGGAACCTGCGTAATTCATCTTACTTGAACGTATTGTGTGTTCCAGTAGATACATTCTGTGGTCTTGTAACTATTAAACCAGCTTCTTTTAATCTAACATAAAATTCATCATCCTCAAGACCCCATCCCCAATATTTGTTAGACATTCCATTCACTTGTACAAAATGTTCTCTGCAGAAATATTTTATTGTTATTATATTGACTTGTAGAATCGACAATATGCATTTAGAATTCTTGCAATAAGAACCTTTTTATAAGTAATATGCCTCCAACAAATGTTGGATAATGATATCGGGGATGTAATTCTGGAGAAGATACATGAAGAAAGCCTACATTTATAAGAGAGGCTCTATTAAATCTAAACCTATCAATCTAGAACAATACAAAAGTGTTATTATTAAAATCACACAATCATCTATAATATATTGTCAATATATTGTATGAAACATAAGAATACCTGATTAAGTATGAATATATGGTAATCTATATTTTGTTTATCTAAGAACTTTTTCATATGCGGAGCAAATATTAATAGCTCTTCAAAGCGATCTCTAAATGGCACAAGTATAGCCAAACGGTGTAATGACTTCTTATGATTTTTATCAGCATTGTTCTGTTGCCTATGATTATTATACTGACTTTGCTGTGTGGCTAATTCACACTTGCATTCATCTGGAATTGTAAATCTTATGTACTTTTTAAATTCTTGCAATCAGTATCGATATCATATCTTACCTATGCTTATTGGAGCAATACTTATCAAGCAGGATATAAGAAATGTGATCAGTATACAAGCAAATATATATTTGAATTTTATACTTTTCCAAATAACTTCCATACCGAATAACATGTTTTTAGTTTGAGAACGTACAATACTTTTCCATTCTAGTAATGTTACCAAAAGCCGTTATTTTGGCCTTTTATTTTTATCTACTATTAATTTTGATGATTGAAATCAGTGCAAAGTGCACTGCAATTTCTGTTTATAAGTTACCACTGCATGATTTCTACTCGATTATCCAGAATGTCGCGCATGTGAATTTAAGAGTCGTGATAGAAGACAATTGGTTCTCACATATTTCCATCAGACTAAATCAATCCGTAATTAACAGCACTTTTTCTCGTTGGTCAAACATTCTTCGGCCATCGGACCGTCGAGGATACGTTCCCTATGCCAAACACACATATCTTCTAGTCGATTGTATGCATAATTATGGAACACTTTGAAATTTAGTTCATGCATTGTGGATCTTTGCTCAGTTAAATAAAAATTACTTCAGTACCATATTTGCGATCGAAAATGCTGTTTCAACATATATCTGCAACATCCGCTGCATCTCCTGCTTTATATTATTATATCATAGAATAGTACACGGACAACCCAAATACAGCAAAATTTTCTAGAAGAGAATGGTGGCGCCATTTGGCGAAAAAGTACGTGTAAATCGGATACAAATTTAAACGTTCCCCTGCGGATGACGCCACCTGTCACAATATCGATGGCAGTAACTTCTGATTCTGTCTCTACAAAAAATGACGAAGTGGTGCCACCTCTGTATCTTTAAAACAAGTGATTAAACAATCACTCTGACTAAAAGGTTCGAGGGTTTTCATATAGGTGTCTCCGACATTTATACGTCTTTTTCAACATGGCTGTCATACCCACGTGAATCCTATAACCAAATTCGGTTGTTTACATACGAAAAAGTCGCCACTAATTAAAAGACTTAGCTATGGGTGAAGAAACGGAAACCATTGAAAAAGTCATGACAATGGAGGACATTCTCAGTAACACTTCTGTTGAGACTAACACAGGTGCCTCAAATACAAAACAGTTAAGGTCTAAGAAAGAGAAGTCACTGGAAGAACAGATTCCAAAGGGCAAACCTAAATCTGGCAGAATATGGAAGAACCAGAAACAACGGTAAATGAAACCTTATTCACGAAACTACTGATTCATTGTGTTTAAGTACCTGAGTATATTTATTTCTTCTAAACAGATTTTCTTCTATTGTTAAGACTCGTGGTACACGCCTGTCTTTTGAGAAGAAACAGAAGTTGAGAGATGATTTGAAACGGGTAAAAGAAATGTCCAGAGCGATTAAAGCACAGAAAGAAGCAGAAAAGGAAGCTAAAAAGCAAAGGAGAATTGTAAACCTGAAACGTGCTGAAGAAAACCGCAAGAAGAGCGAAGTTGTCCAAGTGGTAAGTACTACATACTAGTCAATGCTTAGGTCTGTTGAAATTCATTCATCTTTTTTTAGATCACAAATACTGCGAAACTGAAGAAGATAAAGAAGAAACACCTTAGAACAATAGAAAAGAGGGATACTCTCAAGTTATAAAAATGTTTATTAAGTAAGGCCTTATTGTAATTTATTATACAGGGCGATTCTCCCGCCGCGCAAACCGAAGGCCGGGCCACTCTAAAGAATCACCGTTTCGGCGCACTTGCATGCGTGATCCCCATGTCATTGACAGTGAGGATCGGTTGACAAATTACACGTACGCGGCGGTTCTTTAGGACAGCACATCCTTTGGTTTACGCAGCGGGAGAATCAACCCTGTATACGACTAATTCCACAGATTGTAAAATATTGTAATAAAAAAATTGTTAATAATACTTTTATGGAACAAGATCACTTTAGGTATAATAATATTACTGTCTAAACGTCGATGGTTTAAATAATAAAAATAACCCATTTTCACGAGCAGACATGCTGTTCTTTTTGGAAGACTAAGTTTTATCGTCCCTTGCTTTCTGTCTGGCTACGAAATCACGAAGCTGTTCCTTTAGGTTGTAGTTACTTTGTTCAATCCACTGCAATTAAGGAAATTTCGTAAAAATGTTGGACTATATTAAACACAGTTACCGTCAGTCTTAGTTACCATAGTTTTAACCCATTTCGGAAGATTCTTTATGTTCTCCGGGAAGAGAAACCTGAAATTGTTGACGTAACATAAAATATTTATTATCGACCGTTCTATTAAATCAGACAAACCTTTCATCCACTAATAATACCGCCCCCCAATCGTTGGCGTGTCTCAAGCAACGGCCCAATGCTTGGTTCAGTGCTCTAAACGCTTGAATCGAGTACCAGACTGAACCCCTTAACAAGCCTCTTGCCGTATTCATATCGTTATACTTCAATTTCATATCAATTACCGGATCCTTTCTTACTCCATACGGTATACCAACCTGTAAAGGAATACTTTATCTCCCTCCACTTGAATTCTTCTGGTAACTCACCGTCAGCACGCAGCGAGCCTCGTTGTCTTTGAAGTCGATTCCTTCGGCGACCTTCCCCCTGAAAACCGCCAGGAACAGGGCGCCATCGATCGTTCCGTTGGGTCTGGCTGAAGTTTCTTGTATAATCTCACGATATTCAGTCATGATACCTGCCAAATCGCCACCATAACGGGGCTCTATGAACACTTGCTTGACGTTGCTGATCTTGCTCCAGATGGAGTTATTCTGCCACCTTTCCATCTGTGTGTGCATCACATTGTAGGAGGAGAAGAAACAGAGAATTCCATGAGGGACAGATTCGCAGATATCAAGCAACACTTTCCCTAGTTCATCCTGCAATCGGACAGAGAAACGAGAACTAAATCCCAGCAAAGTAGCTTATCTAAAAATTGGAGGTGGATCCCTCCCACTGGTGTCACAAACGACAATGGGCGAATCCTACCTGAAAGCCCCAGCTGTTCACATTCTGGTAGGTAGCTCTCAGAGAAACGTTGTTTGGTCCTTTTGGTATACAGGTGGCGAACACTTGGTCTTTCGGTATTACATGAGCTGTGTTCAATACGTGAACGAACGCGGTGCTTAATTCACTCTGGAAAGACGATGTCGGCGATAGGGTGCCAGAGGCGAGGATTATCGATCGAGCTGATTGAGCGAGAGGCGCAAAGATCATTCCAGGATTCATGCACAGTAACTTCAAGGTTCGCGCACGTTGTTCTTTCTTTTTCGTCGAAAGCCACGTGTTGTCTGTTGCCTGTCAGAAACCAAAAATTAACTCCGTTTCTCCTATAATTCGATCGGAACACTGGCGAGCAATCTGTACTATCGTTCTTATATCAAAACTCGAAAACTACTAACTACTCACGTATTTAAAATCTTTCACAGTGCTCTCGATCACGCATGCCCTGTAGTCGTTCACGAATTCCGGAGAAGTGATCATACGGAAAGTGAACATCAGGTGCTCCACCATGATCTTGGTGCTGCGAGAGATGACAGGTTTTACGTATTCCTTTTCGGACCGACTTTCCTCCTTTGATTTGTTACAATCTTGCAGCGCCGTTCTGCAGGCTGCGAGGAAAGTATTCACCGCGGATTCTTCAAGCTCGTGCATCTTATAGAGTTCAAGCAACTCCATTCCAGTCCAATATGGGCTCGACAGATTGTTGCTGTTGTAGTCCTGACGACACAACGTGTATGAAGTCCCTTTCCTTGAAATTATTCGACCTAACTGAAACTAACTAGAATACTCACGATCTTATCAAGTGTAATAGACTTGATGAACTTCGTCAGCCGGAGAATATGCTCCTTAAGGGTGTTGTACGTGTTGGGATCATCGTTCCTTTGTTTGCTCAGACTTCCACAGTCGTGTGCAGCAGCTTCAAGATCATCTTCACGGAAATTCACGCTGGCCACTTCACGGCAGGTGTCTTCTATGTTGTGAGCTTCGTCAAGAATGATCACTTGGTCGTTCAAATTAAGTTGCATCTGCGCAGATCATAAGTTCTGGGGTCGCAGAGTATCCTGGATGTTTAAAGCTTGCTCTTACCGATCAACACTTACAGACTCACGGATATCAGGGTCGATGATGTAATTGTAAGGGCAGAAAATGATGTCTGCGTGCTCCATCAAGTTTCTGGCAGCAAAGTATGGACATACATTCTGTTCTTTGCCTATGGTGACCAAGTCCTCGATATCCCATACCTGACCCAGACCAAGTCTTTTCGCTGCCGGAAATGTGGCCATGGCCTTTTTGTTGCCCTCGTTGTAAAACGGGCAACCTGTGCGCTAGTGTACAAATAATGATTTTCCAACGTTTATCTTCTCACCGTATTATTCAGTTTTACCTTAGCAGGATCCAACAGATCATTGCACAAATCCGTTTTATTCGTAGTACTCTGCTGTAGACACGTGTGCTCTCGACTGCTCAAAATCGTCATTCTACAAAGAAATCGTCATTCGCCACAGACCCACAGAACCAAGGGGATTATAATTAAAAAAGAAAACAATTCTAACTTTTTATGCCTGTACGAAGTCTTCCTCAGTTCCCTTATCACCTGTTCGATTTGTTTATGAGTCCTGGTCCCATAATAGATTTTCGGAATCTTCAAACGTTCCCTAAAAATCATTACATTCTCCCGTCGCCCTTCATTTTATTCTACCTCGCGATGAATATTAAACCAGATGATTCAGGTGTCCAGCATATATACAGGGTGTCCCACCTAATGTAATTACCTAACTTTGATACATTTCCACACTAATCTCTCTATCATAGTTATTTTATTATTTCCATCTACTCATACATTTCTGGATTTTCCGTAACGAAGGTCACACTATTATAAGTCATTGGATTGGTTTTGATCTCAACTACAATGCCACGCTGATAAAACATGTAGCCACATATAAAAAATAATATAACCACGAGAAAAATTGTTGAATATCACACTATTTGTTCCTTCCAACCAAGTAATACTTTCCCCTCCCATTTTTATTATATCTTCAAAAACAAGTGAAAGGTGCTCACATCAGGTGGACGCCCTATAAATATATATTAAAATTATACACACGATGTCTTGAACATTTTATCATAATCCGAATCCCCGTCCTCCTCGATATTGCTATGCCGATTCGTGCACCCGTCGCCGGATTTCATCGCCGAGTTCGAGGTACCCTCACCCAGCTCCGTGTCGGAATCACCTGGAATAAAGCGAAATCCCGTTTTGTCTAACACAAAACAATCGTAACGTTCATCGATTCTCCCCGTCAGAAGTTCTTCGATCATCCCCCAAGAAACTTCTACCTACACCCTCATTTTCGTCTTAATTCTCTCAAGCTGCCAGAGACACCTTATCCTTCGAGGCTTTGGCTAAAAGGGGAGACACGACGAAAGACTCGAGAGATACGACGATCCGCTGTTAAATCGTGAACGAAAAGAAAGAAGAAAAAAAGTCATAAGCTTCTGATATTCGAGGGATGAGAGGCATGTTTCTTCCCCCCGTCGATTCCGCATGGTCCATCGTCGACGCGCGAGAGCGATTTCTAAGGGCACAGGGAGAGGGAATGCTCCAGTGCCTGTATAACTGAAAAGGATTACGCTTATTTAGGAAGTTGTTCGCCGCTGAAAGGATTCCCCCCAGCTCCGAAGATCGAGCGTTTCTATTAATGCCCGTGAAATGAGCGAGGACGAGCAGCGAGAGGAATGTCAAAACAGCGGGATCGGTGGCAGGTGAAAGGCCACGGAGCGATCCATTGAGCGGGATCAATAGAGGGGTGGGTTTTCTATCCACCCTCTCGGAAACGGACGTCGACAAAAAGACGGGGCCCTCGAAGGAGAGACGGTTAAGGGAGGGGGGGGGGAACGAGGCCGATGTGAAGGAGTCATAGAAGAAGAAGAAGAAGAAGGTAAGGGCGCGCCCCCGCAACCGGTTAATCCTTTCGTGCGATTTACCCGTGAGAGTCAGAAAAATAGAAATGATCGTAAATGACGATGAAAAGCATGAAATGGATGTTTATTCGTAAGCGGATTTCGACGATCGAGGGTGGCCCTCCAACCCATCGATCTTTGTGGCGTCGGAGGAGCGCTCGAGAGGACGCGATGAAGAATTTTCGAGGGATCCTTGGCGCAGCGCACAGTGGGACGAACTGTGTAAAAACTGCGACATGAACGAAAATTTTGACCTGTTTTTTTTTAACTATCTCAGTATAATTTTTAGACATTAAGGAACAAGGAATGGCAAAGAAAAAGTTGTTTTTACGTATTTACACCTATTATTTTGAATTAAAATATCTAACATTAGAATATAAAAAAAAAAATTTGTTCATTTATACCATACTATTGTACATATATTTAGGTTACTGACTATTAATCAGAAATTTAGAATTCGAAGATTAGTTTTGGAAATTTTACACTTTAGAAGAATTTCGGAGACGCTAATTAAACTTACCAAAGAGAGGAAGGAAAAAATAGACCACCACCAAAACCACCAGGAGTAGGAGAAAAAGGTACGAAGGGATGATTAACCGCTTAGATGTGAATGACGAGTATACTCGTCATGGAGAAATGGCAATTTTTTACGTAATGACGAGTACGCACGTCATACGAGAAAAGTAATTACCATTTGTAATTTAAGTTAAAATATTTGCGAAAACGAAAACATATTTGTAAATTTGAAACATTTCAGAATATTTCGAGACTATTCCACTAGACTAGTAGTTTTTAAATCCTATTTCTAAATAATCTTTTTCAACAAGAAAATCATGAATGTTCAAGGTTTGTAAATAACGTAAGTAAATTCAAGCAATAAAATTATTGTTGTTTCAAAACAACAAGTCCTATTTCCTCATAATTAAATTGCATTTTACAGCAGCTGCACATATTCTGTGTTCGACGAGTATACACGTCACCGCGTCGTTCCAGCAACACAACGCGGATACACACTTTCAAAAAACGGCACCACAACAGCTAAGAGGTTAAACCAGAGGAAAATTCATCATCGAGCCCTATCGAGTGCGTTTCTCATCATCGATCTCTCCCCTGTTCTCTCTCTATCTCTGTCTCTTAGCGAGGCAACAACAAGCCGCAAGTGTTCGGACGACGGGGCCAGAGTCAGTAATTCGATGGGCGATGTTGAAAGGGGGCGTCCTCTCAAGGGTGCGATAACTTTCGGCGTCGACTGTATCGCCGGGATGATACCCCCTCGGGGGTTTTCTCCCCTCGGGTGTTGGGGTGTGTTTCGTTGCCTGGCAACGGACACCCTCAAAGTCCCCGTTCTGATTGGCCCCCGTCTCCCCTTTAGTTTTCCCTGTCTTAGCCTCTCTCTTCTCACCCCCTTTCGACAATCAGCCCCGGCAGCCGCCGCGCGGCTGCGACCCCTGCCTGCCCTCCACTCTCTATCGACGATCAAAACCACCCTCGAGGCAACGGCTGCATTGCTCGTCATTCCCCCCACCCACCCCCCTCTCCAATCCCCTGTGTGTTCGCCGACCGCGCCATACGACCGTACGAAAATGGAAAGTCGAACACCCATATCCTCCACCCCAACCCCCTGTCTCGCATTACCACACCGATATTCGGTTAATTAATTTCACTGGCGGCGATATTCCCTAATATTTGATAATTCTTATTTTTTGCTTGAACAGAGTTTCGATAACAAAATGGTTGATCGACGATGGTACTGCGATTTGGTGTAGGGGATAGTTGAGACAAAGGTAACACGGGACGAATGTAATAATTGTTATAAAACAAATGCCAATCGAAGAGAACAAGCGTTCCCTTCTATCTTTATACATCAGTTTCATCTGATCTTTGTCTCAGGTTTCGTTAACTTAGCAGTAAGGGGAGTTCTATTGGTATAAAAAATTTTATAAAGTTTAAAAGTTACTGACTTAAACAGACATATTCTTACGGTTTTCCCTGGGCTCCCCTATACGATCGTTGGATATATGTATAATATTGTAGTATTAGGTGTAGTATATGTAAATAAGTGGATCCATCGATTTCTGTTTCATCGCCAGACGATTCGGTTTAACGCGTGACTGCCACAGTGAAAATAGCCGTACGTAGTCAGACATGTTTTATTCCATTTCTTTACGTCCTAAATCGTCGAAAATATATATTCGTTTGGTTAAAATACAGTCTGTTTGTCTTGTTTCAGATTACATTGCGATAGTATTTTTGTGGAAAAATCTTGTGAAGGTATTTACATACTCCAACCAGTCTTTGTAATATTTTTTAACTACGAGTTATCTCGAAGTTGGCAGTGAATGACTGATCACAATTTATAGCCTACAAGGCTCTGTGATATACAAAAAAGCACAAAAGTTACATCAGATGCAATGACTTTTCTATTTTATTCTGAACCAAATAGGATACTTAAGAAGATAATCCGCCAATCCAATGAACGTCATACTTTTCGAACAACAAACACACACAAACCACCGTCGTTGATATATGGAAAACGTTCACCGATCGGTGTTGCAATTAATCAACCGTTACACAGTTTAACCAAATTAACGAGGAGAATCGACGGTTATTGTAATCCCGTTGGTGGATGAAAAGTCGATTGAAAATATCAGGGAGAAGAATGTTGAATCTGCTGATCGGGTCCATTCCGTTTGGCATCGTTGGTCGTAAATTAAACGATTAATTGTTATGCAACCACCACAGGGTGACGGGGGGTATCGAATCGAAGAGGAGTCAAGATACGGTCGAATATAATGGCTGTTTCGGTATCAAGGAAGCCGTTAGATGTGAAGCGTTCGTTGTGCCTTTAGAACCATCTTATCAGCGGGCAGATCCCCCTCGAGGAGAAAAAAAAAAACAAGACAAAAGGGAAGAGCATCGGGACCGGACAATAACGGTGTGTCGTGTCCCGTTTCGCGTATTTCGTTTCCCATTCATCGTGGACGAGTGTATGAATGAACTCGTTTCACGTCGATCGCTCGACCCCGTACCCGCACGGAATAAATAAACTAGTTGATTCGCGAGAGCATAAAGCGACCGATTCTTCGATTCTCTTTGCTTACTGGAACACCATCGAAATCATCGCCGAGGAATACGTCGATTAACCTTCAGATGAATATACCATGTATGATAAAATAAGGGTATATTTAGGAGCATTCTGGTTTCCCAATTGTCCGAGATATCGAAGTCGTAGGTAACATCTCCACGTAAACACATTTCGACTGACGTTAATGTAATTTATATAACCGGTTTTGCCGTTCTAATTCTTTCCTTTTTGAAGGGTTCTGGTAGGTATCAAAAGCGTCACGACAGATGAATCATTGAAACACCATACGAAAACCAGTTTTCGCGAGAATGTTTGAAATTCGAAATTCTTCGTTCCTTCGATAATTTCACGGTTATGGATACAAAATGTCCGTTCGGGAGCCGATCGTGGAATATATTGCGCTACGAGCCATTCTATCCCTTTCGAAGCGATTCCACAGCATCACGGTCTTCCTTTTGTCCGAACCCGCGGCAAGGCTTCGAGTTACTTGGAGAATTAGGGATTATTTAGCGGAGAGGGTGGGTGGGGGGATGGACTTCAGGGGTATTGATATGGCTTTTGTCTCGGCCGGCCACAAAGTTTCGCGAAGCACCGCAATCTAACCAATTAGCGACGATTTGCTAAATCAAGCCGCAGCCACGAATTAATTGGTGCTCGACTTTCTTTCGCCCGTCCTCGTCCCTCCTCCCTTCGTTTCTCTGCTCCTGTCGTCGACAACAAATACTCTAAGTCCTCTCGATGAGGGAAACCACTCGTCGGAGATCCAGGGGCTTGGCCCCCTTTTTCTTCGTCGTTTTCTTCCGCTGGCCGAGTCGCGTTATGAACGCCGGAAGACATCGGGCGATCCTGGGATCCCAATTATTGGGTTTCGAGAGAGAAATTTCGAGAGAACACCGATAGGGAAGGGAGAATTTTCACGATATTTTTCGTCCTGTGAATCATGGTTCTACTCTTTCTTCATGATTTCGAGCTAGGATCACTGTATATATAAATTTTGTCGAACGATAATATTCCCTGAACGATAATCTCTAATATGATTGAAAAGAGAAATTTTGTGGAGAAGCCAATGCTTTGTCTTGAGAACAAAATTGCTTTGTATTAATCGCGAAGCAACACTAATTGTGATTCTTGTTGTTTTTAAATTTATCGCTCGGTTTAGATATGTTGCTTGAAATTTGAAGTTCAAAA